AAAAATAAAATAAACAATCAGGTTTAGATGTGACAATTAGGTTTAGAGTGTGGCAATAACCACACCCGTGACCCGTGCACATCACTCTTCTACTTTCTTTTTTCTTTTTTTTTTTTTAAGGCAATAGTTAGAGGTTAATATGTTAGAGGTGTTAATAGGGATAAGAAATCCGAAACTTGAAAGTGCAAACCATGAGTTGTCATTTGAGATAGTAAGTGATCACTGAGTCACGACACATGGAATACTACTTTCTTCTTGTTCTTTTTTATTTTTATTTTTTAAGGGCAATGATTAGAAGTTAATATGTTAGAAGTGTTAACAGAGATAAGAAATCCGAAACTTGAAAGTGCAAACCACGAGTTGTCATTTGAGACAATAAGTGGTCATTAGGTGACGGCACGTGGAATACTACTTTCTTCTTGTTCTTAGAGGAAGAAACTTACAATAAGGAAACTGGCAATGGGACATGCACAACTGCATTCCTTTTATTATTAAGCCCTTTGTAAATGAAAACACAAAGGTCAAAAAGACTGAGTCTTTTCATTAAAAAAAAGAGACCAGTCTGTTAAAAAGAAAAAAAAAAAAAGGCAACCATGTTCAGACACTTCACCAGTAACTATAATTATCCGCATAACTGCTGAAGTGGATCATGGGATTAGGTTTCCCCGGAGTCCTGTAATTGAACCTCCCATATGGAGGTAAGGGTGGCGGCAGCGGTGGACGCATCAACCAGGGCTGATAATATGGAGGCGCCAATCCCCTTCCCTGCACTGGCGGGTAAAGTTCGTACGGTGAATAACGCTGTGATTCAGACATGTATAGCAGTGGATGACGCCATCTGAGGGGTCCTTTTATCATTGGTTTTGGTTTCGGATTCATCTTTGTCGCTCCATTTTTCTTGGGAAACAAACAACCCAGAAAACCAAAAAAGTTCCTGCTTTTCTTCATGCTCTGTTTTTCTCCAGGAGAATCGGGATTTTCCATGGGGATTTGGACATCTTTCTTCGTGTTTTTACGGTCATCATCGGAATCATCCTCAAAAGAAGAATCAGTATTGCATTTCTTAGCACAGGTACAGACTCCCTGTGAACTTTGAAAACCAAGGTCCTTTCTGAAGGACAAAAGCTCTGCTTCCTTGCCCCATTCGTCAAACATCCCCACAATTCTCTTCGAATCTAAATTACCTGAAACTTTTACCAATCCCTTCGCATCGAAGCTGACAGAATCAACCCCTAATGGAAAATTTCATTAACATAATTTTCCTTCCATCCAAACAAAAATTATGTGAGACGAGAAAGTTAATTAGTTACCATGAATTCTCTTCAACTCCTCAGTTGTTCTCTCTTGACAGTGAGACCCGGAGCAGGACTTGTGATTCACCTTGAAAATAAAAGTACCCTGCAAAGAAATTTTTCGATTAAATTAGTGAGGCACAAATAAGAAGAATTCCATCTAGCTTAAATTAAAACAGAGTATTATGAAAAGGAATGTACTGAAGCTTCCCGCTGGTGTTCCATAGAACTAACTTCGAACACAAG